ATGTTATTGTTAATTTATTTGTTATAATTAATATTTCTTTATTTGTTTATATTTTATTATTTATTCTTTTCATTAAATATCATTTTTATTAATATATAAAATATTAAATCATTTTAAAGAATCATTGTTGATTATTGTTGATTTATTATTTCATTTCATATTTATTCATTCTTCGATTTTTATTATTTGAGATTTGATATTCTTTTTATATTTATTAATCTCTATTTCTTATTATTAATTTCTTATCATTATTTATTCATTTTCATTTTTTTGATATATTCTTTCATTTAAATACCATTTATTTCATTTATTATATTTTCAAATACTTTCATTACATCATATTTCTTTCATTTCATTTCTATTCCATTCATTATTTCATTCAAATTATTCTTCTTACAAAACATTTTCTTCTTCATTCTTTTTATTATTCAATTTATTCTTTTCATTTTTGTTTCTATCATTTCTCTTATTCTTGTGTTTGACATTTATATTTTAATTATGTTATTATTATTAATTCACACATTCATCTCGTGATGATATTAGTCATAGTTGTTATTTCATTTATTGTAGCATGAAATCTTTTTTTACATAACTAAAAAACAAAAAAAAACACAAAAAAAATTGAATTTGGTTTCAGTTAAATAATGAAAGGTTGTAAGTATGTCACAAATGGTTCTAATGAATGATAGTTTGATAAAGGAAAATCCTTTAAACATACAGAATACTTGAAAGGATTTAAAACAATTAATGATATTAATTCAGTGATTACTTCTTCATCATTATTTTCTAATAATGTTGATATTAACGAAGGTTCAATATCAAATCCAAATAACATTTGTTGTGCTATTATTCGAATTAAATAAACTAGTTGTTTATTTGTTAATTGTTCTCTTTTATCAATGAGTTGTAATAACAATGTACTTTCTAATTGAGTGTCATTAATTAAAGAAAGAGAACAAAGTGCATTTGGATAATTAATACTTAATTCTAACAAGTCTTTATTTTTTAGTGTTACACATTCTCTTCCAATTCCTTTTTTCATAAATTGGTTAACTGCATTTAATGCATTTTCATTTCCTTGAATTGCATCTTCAAGAATATATTTGAGTAATGGTAATGATTCTTCACAACAATTTTGTTTAACAGCTTCAATAATTTCTTCTTTGAGTTGGTTATTCTTATAGAATTGAATAAGGTTATTAACTCCATTTTTCAAATATTCATGGACAAAGCATTGGTGTTTGAGAAGGACCTTAAAATGAGAAACACTTTGTTCTATTAATTGTTTATTAGAAAGTAAGTCTGCTAATGAAACAACTAATCCTTCATTGTCTATAACACTTTCTGATTTATTTAATAAAGTAGTTAAAGCAGCATGAACTGTTTTAACAAAAATAGGATTTGAAGTGATAAGAGAATTAAGTAATGGTAAAAAATAAGGAAGTAAATCTATTGGGTCAAGGGTTAATGCTAAAGAAATAAATTGTTGTAAACTTTTTGATTGTACCAAATATTCTTTTAAGTTAGTTTTAATAATCATTGAAGAAAATTCTTTTGGACATGCAGTCATAATAATAGAAAATAATGGTAATAAATCAGTTCTATGTAACTTAATTAATAAAGGAAGAATTTTATTTAATGAAGGAAGAAGATTAATAATTGTAACATCTGGAAGTATTTGTTCTAAAATATGGAATGTAGATAATTTAGTTTCTTCTGGTAATGATGTTGTAAGTAATTTAAACAATGAACGAACTAATGGAACTGATGGAGAACGAGTTGAAATAATTTCTAAAGCTCTTGTTACTAAGTCAATATCTCCTGTTTTTAAAAAACTAATTAAAACTTCGTCAGTGAAATAATAATAAAGTTTATATAACGGAATAATAGTTGTTGAGATAGAAATTAGTTTTGCTAATATTTGAGTTGAGGCATATGTTAGATTTGATAATGCTGGATAAATTAAAGCCGATACAGAAGGGTCAACTGAAGTTAATTGTAATAATAATAGTAAACAATTTGATTTTGTAGAATTTGGGATTCTATTAAACGGAATTAATTGAATGACTGGAAGTAATATTGGTAAATGAGAAGGGTGTAGTGTTGATAATGTTAAAAGTAATTTAATACATTCTTCAAAAAGAAGTACTTGATTCGAATTTGATAAAGAATAAACTGAAAATAAAAGAGATATTAATTTTTGTTCTATTTGTCTATATAAAATACTTCCACAAGTTTGAGGTAATGAAATTAATTTATTTAAACATTTTATACATTCAATCACAATTAAATGATCATCAGAAGTAAAATATAATTGACAAACAATATTAGCAATTGAATATTTTTTTATTTCATCACAATAACTTATAATCATATAATTAGATAATAATTGTAAATAACATATTTTAATTTCTGGCTTTGCTGTAAATATTCTTAATACTAAGAATTGCATAAAATTTTCAAATCCATTAATTTGAACTGAATGTAATAATGGTAATATGGTTTGGTCTTTACATAATAATAATACTAATGTCTCTAAACTTATTTGTGTAAATTGTGTTTGAAGAAGATATGTTCCTGCAATTTTATGAATAATTCTTTGTAACAAAATTCCACTTTGAGTTTCTCCAATAAACAATGGAATTAATTTTAATACTTCTTCATTACATTCACTTTCAATACTTTGTGCTATTGCACTAAATAATCCTTTATTTATTAATAATTGTTTTTCTCCCATTTGAAATGCTTTAAGAATAACTTTAGCAGCTCCTCCACGATATTCTGTTTGAAGTAACGCAATCAAATTATCATCAGTTTGTTTAATCATTTCAATTATACTTTCTGATACTAACATTAATTCTAATGCACTTTTAACACATTCTTGTTGTTTGATACAATTGACAACAATAAAAATATAATCTGTCATATCTTTATTTATTCCTCCAAGAGCCTTCATTGCACCAAGCCATTGTTCTCTGACTTCATTATTTTCACTAATTGTTAATAATGTACTTACACATTCTTTCAATTTTGCTTCAGCTACTATATTTAACCCAATTCCTATTTTGTCTGTAATAACTGAACGAAGAAGTAATGGCACAGCTCCTATTTGAATTAAAGATGTTATAAATTCTTCTTTTTGTGGTGAAGATAAAAAAAGGCAACACTTTTTTGATAATTCTCCTGTTAGTGCATGTTCATCGGTTAATAAATGAGCAATTAATTGCATATGTCCTTCAAAGAATGATGTGTATTGTGAATCAATTAAATTGATAGTAATTTGTAATGACTCAGCAGTTGGAATAAGAGATGATAATATATTACTATTTAATAATGCAAGGCGTTGTGTAGGATTAAATGAAGAGAAAGTTAGAATATCAAGTATCATAGAATTAGGTAATAATTGAATTAAGTCATAAATCATTACAGAGCTCAAAACAATATTTTGTTTCTTCATTGAAGATATTAATGCCATTGTTATTTCTGGATGAAAATGATATTGGGATAATGCCAAACGAAGGATATGACTTTGATATAATTGTTGAGACATACTTCTTGGTAATGATATTAATTCAAATAATGTAGATGGAAGTGGAAGTTTTTCTATAACAACTGCCAATAATAAATAAATACAAATTTCTATTATTCTTCCATCATCTGAAGTTGATCCTAAACGTCCAAAATAACTTAATTCTTTATCTGTAAACCGAATAAATGTATGTTGTCTAAATGCAACAAGAAGATTTAATACAGATAAGCAACAAAATGGATGTTTTAATGCAGTTAAAATTGCTGAAATCATACCACTTTCAATGATTACTTTTGGAGGGAATGTATTTATTGAATTTGCTGTAATTAATGTTTGAAGTCCAAGATTTGCGTCTTTGTAATTTGATGATTCACAATATGTTAGTAATACCCCAAGACACTTTCCATCTTGATGATAATTACAAAGAATGCATTTTTGATTATTTAAACAGTCATTACCAAAATACCTTCTACAACATTTACATTGTTGTTTTTGATGTTTTAAATATCCAAATTCTTTTCCACATGGACAAATATTAGTGTTTATTGCAGTTTGTGGTGGTGGATAATTAAAACTCTTCTTAATTTGAGCATAAGGTAATGGGACACTTAAATTTACTTTGTCTTCTATTAAACTAGAAAGATTAATATTTGGTTTAATCTTTTTATCTGAAGAAAGAATAACTTCATTATCCTTTTTAATAGTTGGTGTATTAGATTTTTGTGATGGTTGAAAGAAGTCATCAATGACTTCAAAAGTATCTTTTAATTCATTTGATACTGTTCCTGATGAAGTTAATAAAGAATCACTAGTTAATTTTGGAGTTGAACTAATAATAAATGGTGGTGGTTTTTTAAACTCAACAAAAGTAGATTGGATTGACCCAGGACTTCTTTTTGGTGTATCAGGACTTTTATTAGAGTTGAGAGTTTGTTTATTTAAAGTATTTGGTTGAGAATTTATTTGTTGTTGATATACATTTTGAGGTAAATGCCAATGGGTAGTCTTATTTTTGTCATCAAGGTAATAAACTTTTCCATCAGTGGTATATGCAATCCTCCATCCAGGTGGAAGTTGATAAGAAGAATACATGATTAAATGACAAATTTATTGTTTTTCTCTCTGAAGTTTTTGTTTAATATAAATTATAGTTTGGTTATAATTTAATATAATGTATGATAATTGATAAAATTAAAAATACTCAAAACAATTAATTTCTATGAATAAACCTTTTAACACACTCTTTCTTACTCAACCTATCACCAATGACACTAATAGATTATTGATTAGTATTCACCCAGTTCATATGGCTGATAGTAAAGTAACTATTGGAGATTATGTTGAAATTAGAGATAACCACACAGGAAAATTATATGGAGTTTTTGAAATACACCCACAACCAAGTGCAACAAGAAACAGTTTGTCTTTCTTTATAATAATTAAATACAAACCCTAAATTAATTTATTAGCTATGTACATTTATAAATCACATGGAATTGAATGTGGTTTACAATCATCTTGTAAAGTTAAAATCATTCCAATTACTAAAGCAATTCCTACTCTCTCTTTATTAAAATTAAAAACTTCACTTTCTTCTCAGTATTATCCATTAATTCTTCACCAACTTAAATCAACTCCTTTACATCCTGAAATTAAACCAATAATATCAATTAATGGTGATCCTCTAGAGCTTGATATTGATATTCAAGAACTTTGTTTTATAAATGAAGATACATTAATACAATCAACATTACATTCTCCATATCCAATCTTTTACTCACATATAGTTCAATCAATTCTATGTGCTTTAAAAGTAACACCTCCAAATTCACTTGCATTACGTTCTTTCAATATTTGTGGTCCAAGTGGAACGGGAAAAAGTGTACTTGTTCATCAAATTGCAGAACAAACTCATCGTAATTTGATCGTTGAATTTAATGTGAATGGTGATATTAAAGAATGTTTACAACATGATATCCAAACTGTTTTATCTCATCCACATGACTCAGTCTTCTTAATTGATAATATTGATCTTCTACCTAATGATTGTTATATTATTTTACGTCAACTTGATTTTAGTGATGTTTTATTATTAACAACATCAGTAACAAAAGTAAAATATCGATTTGATAGAATTTATAATACTTCAGTTCCATCACCCTCAGAAAGAGTTCAATTAATTCATCAATTAATTCCTGACTTAGATTGCACAGAGTTAAATGAAATGATGTCAGGATATACTCACAAAGACATTGCTACTGTTATATCACAATCAGATAAGTCTCTTTCAACATTAATTCCTCTTATTAAGAAACATCCTCCAAGTGGATTAAGTGAAATAACTTTAAATATTCCACAAGTTTCTTGGGACCAAATAGGTGGTAATGAAGAAATTAAACAACGCCTTAAAGAAGCTGTTCAATGGCCATTAAGATTTAAAGAACAATTAGATAAATTTCATGTTAGACCTACTCGTGGAATACTTTTACATGGACCACCAGGAAATTCTAAGACCATGCAAGCCAAAGCATTAGCATCAGAAGCTAAATGTAATTTTCTTGCTGTTAAAGGACCAGAAATGTTATCTAAGTATGTTGGAGAAACTGAAGGTAAAATTAAAGAAATTTTCATGAAAGCTAGACAAAATGCACCATGTGTTATTTTCTTTGATGAAATAGATGGTATGCTTGGTGTTGCTAGTGAACGTGGAAAAGTAGGATATGGAGATAGAATGTTGAGCCAGTTCTTAGTTGAAATGGATGGTTTAAAAGAGACAAGAGTCTTAGTATTAGCAGCTACAAATAGACCAGACCTTTTAGATGAAGCGTTATTAAGACCAGGAAGATTTGACAGAATTTTATATGTTGGATTACCTGATTTGGATACAAGAAAACAAATAGTAAAGATATATGCTAATTCTGTTAATATTGAACTTTGGGCAAATAATTTTAAAGGTTATTCAGGAGCTGAGATAGCTGGTATTTGTAGAGAAGCTGCATTAGAAAGTTTAAGAAATAATAAAGAAAATATTGATGAAACAAGTTTAATGGCAGCTTGGATGAAATATGGATTACCTCAAACTCAACAAGAAGTTATTAATCTTCATTTAGATTTTCAAAAAACACATAAGATGCAAGGATTCTAAGTTATTTTTAATAAATGATTAATTGTGTTTATTGTGTTTTGTTGAATATAATATATTTTGCTATTTAAATAATAATCTTTTTAGAATATTTATAATTTCATTTATAAAATAAAAATGTATGTCTTATATTTAATTGACTATGTATTATAGTCAAATATCATTATCTTCTTTTGTTTAATTAATTATTCAATAAGACATAACACTCTTTCAATATAACAACTAAATTAAATACTTATAATAATTTTATATAATAACCTAAATGATATTTCCAATTCTTAAATTTTTTATTATAAACAAATATCAAAAAAAAAAACACATTATTTGATGATACAGAAAAAAAGTAACGAAAAACTCAACTTTAAAAAGAAAGGTTTAAGTGACTATTATATTATAGAAAGGGTATTGAGAGATATTTTCTCTGATTATCACAAATATTTCCTTTAGTAATAAAACATATTAATAAATTCGATCCTAAATGAAAAAACCAAAAAAAAGATAAAATAAAATTATTATGACGTTGTGTTTTGTTATTTTAAAACAAACAAAATCTTTAAAAGAACTTTAAATCAAGAATTTAATTGTTTTATTAATCTTAATAAAAATACTTTTAAATGAAGTGTAATTGAAATATTTATAGTATGCGAATAACTCATTAATGAAACTAAAAGAAAAGGTTACTTAATTTAGTAGAAAATATTAAATTCATTCATTTTTCGGTATTTTGTTCTTTTTTTTTATATAAAGTTCTTTTCGCTCTAATTTTTTTTATTAACCTTAATCTTTTTCATTACTTCCTCTATTCAATTGTAATAGTTTATACTACATGAATGGATTAGGATAAGATATTCGAAATTATCACAGTAGAATATCCTTGAACAACAAACATTTTGTTAAGGAACTATAAAAGAAGAATCTATTAGTTTGTTTTTGTTTGTTATTTCGATATTATTTTTAAATCGTATATTAAAATAAATAATTTTAGTAAGAAATGAAAAAATAAATGAATTGTTAAACTTATGTAACAAATGAATAACCAATGAAATATGTATCTAAAAAAAACAGGAATTGTTTGTTGTAAATTCACTTATTTTGATAAATTACGTTATATTTAGATTTTCTAATTCTATCAAAATAAAATTAGTGTATTGTTAATAAACCAGTAAAATCTTTTTTATTGTTTTTTTTTTGAAAGAACATATCATTGGATTAGACTTATGAATATAAGTCAACCAAAGTCATAGTAAATAAATATTTTTCTTTATAACATAACTTTAATAAGTACAAATTAATAAATTAATAATTAAATATCTCTTTTAAAAAACTGTTTTTTCTTGATGTAAATTTCTCAATAAAAACATTTCTTAAGAAAATCATTTAACTATTCAAAACTTTCTATGTGTTAGTATTTTGTACTTCAAAATAATTGATAGAAGAACTTTTAATTTTTAATACCAATGAAATGCCTTTTGGTTATTAGTCTTTTAATTTTTCCTTTTGTTCAGTCAAAGTACTTTATTACATTCTATGATAGTTATGTTCAAGTACTTAATGAAGGACATTGTTATTATATTGAATCTTTAAAACAAAGTTTTAAACCTTATTTTAGAGGAGAAACAATGATAAGTGAATTATACAATGACCTTAATTGTACTATTTTCATTGGAAATTCAAGACTAGAAGATATAGGGTATTATATGATGTCTGTTTCTTTCATTTATGCTGATTTTCTTCCTGATGATTTAACTGCAAATTTAAAATTTGGATGTAATAAAACATATGGAATTAACCAATACCAATTAACTGGTTGTGTTCGTTTAGAAGATACTAGCTATTATATCAATCAATCAGTTGAAAATGATATATTTATAACAAGTTACTACTCAGAACCAACTTGTACAACACTAGTTAATAAAAGGGAAGTTCCTTGTTCATCTTGTTTCTATGACACAATTTATAAAGTTGAAAGGACTGTTGATTGCTCACGTATTTATAAAAAAAAGTAATAATCTATCTTTGTTTCGTGTTTTGTTTATAATTTTTAGCTTCGTATCTACTTTCATTCTCTATTTTTTTTTTAATTTTTTTAATTTATCTTTACTCTGCTGTTATTTTTGTTCTTCTTATTTTGATATTCATTCTTTAGTTAGTTAACTTTAGAGAGATTCGAAGATTGAATGGTAGAAACACCATAAACTTTAAAACAAATCAAAACATTGAATCACCAATTATCATTTGTTTATGGAAATGTCGTTCAAGACTAATTAGATTGTTATTAATATTTATTATGAGTGATTGTTAAGAAAGTATTAATTATTATGGTAATATTATTTATTTATCAACACGCAAATATATTTAATAATGATAGTTTTGATTGAATATATGGATATTGTCAAGAAAAAGTGATTGATAAAGGATTGTTAGTATTGAAAGAGATGAAATATAAACAAGGTATTATTCATATTCTCCTTAAAACAATATTATAAAGAATGAAGAACTTTACTATTCATTACATTTAACATACAAATCAATAACAACTTGAATAAAGAATATTTAAGTTGATGATATTTGAAAAGGTTGTAATTCAAAAGAAATAAAGTGAGTTAAAGAAAGTGGAATACCCACATCTCAACACAACAAAAACATAATCATTGTGTTAGTCATAATTGATTTGTTTTTATTCTTTATTAATTCTTTAGGTAATGTTACTCATAAAAGTCTTTTGTATGATATTATATTATTGAATTAAATAATCTAATCATTAAAAAGAAAGACATCTCCATAATTGATACTAACTAGCTTAAACAAAAAGGAAGTAATTTTTACTTATTTTAACTAAAAAAAAACGAGAATTAATTATAACCTCAAAAATATAAACTTTAAAACAAAATGACACTTCACCTCAAACTTTCACAACTTGATGGATATTCTATTATGATTGTTAGTAAATATTTCATGCTTTCATCTGATTTTATTAATATTATTTGTGTATGTAAAAAATTTCAAGAAACATTAGATAAATTTCATTTTAATCCAATTCAATTAACAATAAAAAACAAGTCTCTTTTTAAAAATATTGAAACTCAATTTGTTTATTCTCAAAATGATTATTTAATTCCTTTTATACAACAACGTCATTATGTATATTGTTCTTACTTACAATATCAAAGTCTTATTAATAACTCATCTTCAATAACATATACATTTAGTCCATTAGTTTATACTCAACAAGATGCAAATAAATTAGGCATTCAAATTCCAAAAGAAGTTAAAATTTTAGGAGAAAACTGTTTCTCGGAATGTTTTAAATTTCATTCATTTGAACTTCCATCTCAAATTATGGAATTATCAAAAGGTTGTTTCAGGGTTTGTGATTTTTTAAAATCGTTTACATTCAATTCAAACATTGTTTCAATACCTGAAAATTGTTTTGAAGAATGTATATTTCTTAATGAAATTATTATTCCTGAAAATATTAGGAGAATAGGTGACTGTGCGTTTAAATTGTGTAAGTCATTATCTTCTATTTCTTTTAATGGTCCTATTGATATTATTGGAAAATATTGTTTTTATAATTGTAATAGTTTGAAATATATTCAAATACCATTGGGAGTGAATTGTCTTGACGAAGGAACATTTAAAGGTTGTAATAAATTATCTGCTATTGAACTTCCTTCTTCACTTCATCACATTGGTGTTTCATGTTTTGAAGATTGTTGGAATTTAAAAATGATTCAATTAAACAATTCCATAAAAACACTTGGAGTTCGTTCTTTCTGTAGTTGTGTTCAGTTAAAGTCTATTACATTCTCTTCATCACTACAACTATTACCTTCAAATTGTTTTGAATATTGTACTTCTCTTAAAACAATTACTCTTCCTTCTTCTCTCCTTTCACTTCATGATTTTTGTTTTTATCGTTGTTCCTCTCTAGTCTTTGTATCTATCCCTTCAACAGTAACATCCCTTGGATCTTCTTGTTTTGACTCTTGTACTTCATTGTCTTCTTTTTCTCTTTCTTCCTCCCTTGAAATTCCTCAAAGTACCTTCAATAATTGTCCACTCATTGATGTAACAAAATACCATTTCCTTCCTTCTTCCACTCTCCATTCAAAAACTAAGAAAAGTAAAAAGAGTATAAAATTAGATTCGTGTATTGTAAATTGATCTTTCTTATTTAATTTTAAACAGGTTTTATTAGGCTACTTGTTCTTTGTATAAAATAAATTAAGAATGTATGACACACAACGTTTTTCAGAAAAAAATAGATATCACTTAAACACTCACCAAATAATTATCTTATTCATATTTTTTTAAGTAGGAAATCTATTTCTCTGCTTCTTTTAATATGAGTATTTTATTTCAATTCTCTTCTTTATTTAAACTGTTTCTATCCATTCTTATGTTTCAGTTATTACAAAGTGTTAAGTTATTACTAAATTATAATTATATTGACATTAGTCTTATCGAAATATTTTTAGAATTTATTTTATCATTAAATATTAAGTGTGTTATGGTGCTTATGTTTTGATATACAAGATACTAAATAATGGATAAAAGTAATATCATAATAATTAATAGAAATAATATTCATAACTTTGAGAATAAAATTAGATATAATAAGAATGTATTAAGAAGAGTCAATAGAATATTTTAAATTGTTAATTCAAATAGAAAAAAATAATATATTGTAACAAAAATTTTTGCATTTACATTTTGATTTTAATTATTGTTGTGTACAAATAATAATTATTTATTTATTATCAAAACATAATAAAAATAATTTAGAGGATAATAATATAATATGAAGAGTAATGAAGATAATAACTTTAAAAAAATAAAAAGAAACTGTTTGAAAAAGAAAGAGTAAAATAAAGAACAAGTAATAAAGTAAAAAAGTCGATTTAATCATTTAAAAAAGAAATAGTATAAAGCTAAACAAAGAAAAGTATGAAATGATCTCATAAAATAAATTGTAAATATTAATATAAAT